GGGGCTCTGCCGGCCCGGCCCCCCCCGGCCTGCAGCCCTCCTGCTGCTGCTGGGGGGCATCGTCACCGCCTCGGGACCCCCGCCCCGTGCTGGTCCCGGGGGGGAGGGGGTTTGGGGCTCTCCTGGACCCCCCGGGTGCGGGGCTGGGACCGCTGACACCCAGCGGCTTGCCTCCCTCTGCCATTAGAGCAGCTGGAGGCTGCTCGGTCCAGGGTTCTCGGGACATCCCCTGACTCCAGGAGCTGGCGCCTCAGTGATGCCGGGAGCCCGGCAGAGCGAGTCGAGATGTGCTTGGGTGGCATCTGCCGCTCCCTTGTCCCGGGCAGCGTGCCAGTCCCTGCCCCAAAACCCTCGCCCTGCCTCCCACCCCCTCAGGCCCCGCCGTCCGGTTTCCACTCCTGCCCTGTGGATCCCGCCGTACCCCTGGGGAGCAAGCCATCCCACGGGATCACCGGCCCTCGAAGCTGGCCGGATCCCCTGATGGGGACTGGGAGCAAAGTGAAAACTCTTCAAGGGCACAGATGTCCAGTGAGCAAAAAAAAAATAAAAAAGGTGTTATTGTGCTCTGGTATGAGAAGCTGCTCGCGCCGTGTTAGCGTTAGGCAGGGGAGTCAAGGCTAAAGATAAAGCTGGCCAGGAAGGCTGTACTGGGAACGAGCTATAACTGGTGTGAAGCAGAGGGGTGGGAGGGAGTCACGGCTGCGACACGGCCCTCCTGGAGACAGCTCTGCCGCTGGCACCGCTTTGGGCTGATATTGCCCTGGAAATGGAGAATTTAGGTCCAGATGTAGCAGCACTGGGACCGATGGGGGAAAAGGAACTGGGGGTGGGTTGTTTGGGAGGAGTCCGGGGGGAGAAAAGGTGTTGGGGCAGCAAAAAGTAGGGAAGAAGGTGTAAAATCAGGTAAAGAAAAGTGGGGTGTCCCAAAGCCAGGAGGCCCAGGGACGGCGGGGCTGCTGACCGGCGGGAGGCAAAGGCTCCTGCCTGGCTTCGGCTCCGCGGAGGGAAGGGAGGATGCAGAGCACACGGCTTTGTTCCGCGCGTCCCCTGGATGGGGGGGCTGCTCGGCTGCGGCTCCCCGGCATCTTCAGGGGCGAGAGGGGTGCTCCTCGCAGGCCAGACGCACGCTCACGGCCCGGGGCTGGGTTTGGGAAGGGTTTATTAGCCCCTGCCAGGAATCCCCAGCTCTGGACACAGCTTCAGCTCAGGGCAGCGCAAAGCCGTGCCCTGGGCGCTCACTGCGCTTTCCCGGGGCAGGGCAGCTTCAGATCCATCCGCTGCGTGGGAGGGGAGAGCAACTCGCTGTTCACCTGCGGGGAGAAGCACCCTGAGCCGGCCAGCGATGGGCTCCGGGCAGCGGCCCCCGTGTCTGGGAGCTCTGCGTCGGGCACACGGTGGTGGCGTGTCCCCAGGCTGCAGGGGAGGAGGACACTGCACTCACCCCGGAGCTGACGTACGCCTCCAGCAGCAGGTACAGCTCCGAGTTCTGCTGCTGCAGGACGGCCGCTTCGGCGAGCAGGCCGGCCCTGCGCGTGAGGACCTCGCTGGGCAAGGAGGGCAGAGGGTTGACGCGGCCAGTCGGTGCCAGCCCCACCGCGGTTCCCCGAGCCGAGCCACCAGCCCGCCCCATCCCCAGCAGCGCTGCCAGGCACTCACTAATATTCCTCCAGTGCCACCGCCAACGCATCCCACAGCTTCAACGTCGGCTCGGGGATAACGTGTGCCAGGGCTTCCCAGTACTCCCCATCCTCAGAGCTGTCCCGTACCTGTGGCACCTCCTTTGCTGATCCATCCTTCTCCCTGGGGACAGAGAACAAAGCCCCCGGGGCTCAGCTCTTCACGGCTGAGGAACAGCCCCAGATCCCTCAGCTGCACTGAGCCACCATCGCCATCGTCACACGAATGAGCATGACCCCACAGCTGGCACCGGCCTGCCCCATGGCTTTGCTTCCCTCCCCGGGCTCCTGGTCATCTCCTGCCTTGTTGTCCCCAGCCGTCCCTCACTCAGGCACTGTCTGTACCCCCTGGCCCCGGCAGGACCCTCCCCACCCCTCCGTCATCTTGCAGGGCAGGCAGGGGAAGCTCTTGCTCCAGCCAGGGCGACGCAGGCACCCCCAGCCCTGCCTGCACCCCCCCCAGCCCCTCTGTGCCCTAGCCTGGCTCCCTCCTGGTCACAACAGCTCCGCTCTGCCCCTGCTCCTACCTCAGCTTGTCAAAATCCCGCACAAACGCTTTCAGGATCTTTAGGACATCATCAGCGTGGATGTACACAGATGGAAGGCAGCCCGGTGAGCTCCGAGGGGATTTGAGCTCGTCCCTCTGGGCACCGCATCCCCCGTCCTCTCTGTCCTCAGCCGGATCCATGCCGTCTTCTCCACCTGGGCTGCCCTGGCTCTGGAGGGAAGGACAGCAAGCTGGGGGCTGTGCCTTCCACCACCTCCTCCTCCCCAAGAGCCACCTTCCCCTGGGAGCTTCCAGCCACCCGCAGCCCTGTCCCTTGGCAAATATAGGGAGCTGGGGCAAAAATTCACATGCAAGAGGCTCTGTTTGGCCACGGCAGAAGATTACAACCCCTCAGCCATGTTCACTTCCCTTGTGTGGTCACAGGGAAGCATTTCAGGGTCACCACACTCTCTGCCTTCCTGGAGATGTTCAGCTCCCCCTTTCCTGGAGCCCTGGCTCTGCTGGGCTCTCCCCACTGCTGTCCCTGTGGTCCCACCTGGCTGCCAGCCACCTCCTGGGCTTTGTACTTCAGGAAAAAATCCACCAGCTGGTACAGGTCATCCTCGCTGTCGATCTCGAGGGCCTGGGGAGCAGAGGAACGAGGTTAGCGTCCCTCAGAGCCCCCCCAGCAGCCCAGCTGGACCCCCCTGGGGCGGCTCAGCCCTACGCCACACCGCCATGGGGCAGAGAGCTTTCCCTGGTGACCACCAGCCTTCCCTGCAGCCCCTGACGGGCCAAGCCCCAACTCACCGCAAAGATGGAGTCGAGCTTCATGAGGGTGCGCTCATGCCTCCCCAGCGCGTCCAGGGGCCTCAGCAGCTTGCTCTCAATGAGGAAACCCTTGGGAGACAGGCAGAGAAGAGGGTGCAGAGAAATAGCGAGCATCTCCGGCCCTGCCCAGAAGCCAGCCCATGCCACGCTCTGGCCGCGACGGCAGGCTGAGCAGGCAGGGTCGGCAGCGGCTGGGCAGCGTGAGGCTGGCAGGGCCAGGAGGCTCGGGGACAGGGAAGATAGAGGCATCAGCATGGTGCTGCCAAAAGGATTTCATGGTCTGAAGCTCTTGCTGACTGTCCCCAGAGATGGGGAACAGCCTAGAGCATCAGCAGCTTTGCCTGTGCTTATTCTGGCCTGGGGAGCTGTGGATTTGGGCAACGGGGCTGTGCCTGCCAATACCATTTATTAGGATCGTATATGTGCCACACAGCGCGGAAAGAGCTGGAGGTCCTCTCCCGGCCCCTGGGGCAGCTCTCGGACAACAGGCTGCTGGGCACAGCAAGGTAGTGCCATGCAGAAACCTTCACCCCAAGACGTGGAGCTCGGAAGAGATCCAGTACAAGCTGGAGCAACCAGGGGACAGCACGCCTGCTCCCTGATCAAGGCATGTGCTCCATCGTCACGCACCGACTCGTCGCTCACGAGCTCCAGGATCCTCTTGGCAGTCGTCTTGGAGATATTTCGCAGAGGTGTGACTCTATCCTCAACCTTCGCCGTGTTTTCTTTTCCTCCTTCTCCACTACCCACTTGTTCCTTCTTCTCTCTCTCTTCCTCCTCCCGTCCTCCAGAGCTGCTCTCTGAAACATGGAGGAAGAAGGGTGAGCGAAAGCCTTTGTGCCTTGACTGTGCCCCGCGGTCACATCACTGCAGGAGTCACCAGGGAAATCACAATTGTTCCCTGCGACCTGGAAAGCACCCAAAGGTCTTGGGATACGAGCTGGGCAGCTTGTCTGGAACTGGGAGTACTGGGGAAAAGTACAGTGCAAAGATCCCCCAGCTGGCTCGGCATGAGCCAGCTCAGCGCTGGGGACAGCCCCTGCCTGGGCTCGCAGCGTCACCCCTGTAAGATGGCACCTTGCAATGGCAAGGACAGGGGGGACAGCAGGGGCTGTCACGGAGGAAGGTGAGGGTCTCCCAGTGCCACGAGGGCGACGAGGGCACTGTGCATCTCACCTGCCAGCACCTCCGCAGCCAGCTCAGTCGCCATCCTCTTCGCCTTGTAACGCCCGAGGGGGCCGACGTTGTTCAGGAACCAGTAACGAGGCTCTTCCCAGGGCAGCCCCAGTTGCTGGGTGTGAATGATGCGATCTGCGTCGAGGGCTTTCCTCATCAGCCCTTTGGCTTCCTCCTCGTTCATAAGCCAGACCTCCGTGAACTTCTCGGCGTCGCTGACAGCAAAGTGCCTGTGCAGAAGGGAGATGGCCCATGGAAGGAGGCTCCGTGTCCCGAAACAACGAGTCAGCTCCCCCCACACCTCACTTGGGTGCTCCGAGGCCTCATCACGGGCAGGTGCCCGCGCACACCCCACCTCATCCTCCTCTGCACCTCCTTGCACTGCCCCGCGATGCGCTCACAGTCGGCTGCCAGGCTCTGGTTCTCCTCTCGCAGCTGCTTCTCTTGTTTGGCCAGTTTTGTTCTCAGGTTATTGAGCAAGCTGTGGAGCCTGGGGAGGGACAGCAAAGCTGGGCATCCCTGAAGAGGCGCCTTCAGGCATACCCAGCTTGTCTGAAGGTTTTGGGACTTTGGGCTGCTCATCTGCTAGGGACTACACAGGTTGGCCGTGGCCAACCTCTTCGAAGTGCTCTGGGGACGGCCCTGCCCTGGGCTAACCCAGCGATGGGCTGGGACGGAGCTCATTGGCCTGTGCTGGGTGATGGGCTCCTCAAAAAATGGTATGTGGGAGATGATGGCAGGTAAAGCAGAGCCCATCTTCCGGGGATGGATTTTTACCGGTTGAGCTTCCTTTTCTGCTGGGATCTGAGGATGGTGTTCTCCTCGTCCTGCTTCTTCAGCACCTGAAGGTTGTACTCCAGCTTCTCCTGGTTCAGCTGATAGACGGCTTTCATCTGCTGGAGCTGCCTCTCCAGGTTCTGGCATTTAAAAAAACGCAAAAACAAGGCCTGCCATGAGCAAAGATCACGCTGAAGCCTGGATCCTACTGATCCTGCATCTGCCAACCCCACCTTCCCATGCACATTTCCCCAGCTAAGCCCTGGCCACACGGCATCACTCGTGGGCGAGTGCTGGAGATGCTGGGTGTCCATAAGTACATGCTACGGGGCCGCGTCTGGGGAAAGGGGAAGGGGCTGAAGTTGTACCCAACTTTGACTCCGTGGGGCACTCATTTGGGCCTCTCTCCTCAACCTAGCTGCCGATTTTCATGTCGGTTTTAGGAATTGCACGTCTCTGAATTAACCACGAGGCTCAGAAGTTGCTTGGCAAGCTGGAGGAAGGGACACGCAGGAGGGGTAACTGCACAAACTCCAGGTTTTAAAGGAAACCAGAACAAAACAAAGAAATGAAGCGTTTGTGATGGCAGCACCTCGCTGCACAGCCTGGGGGACAGCAGAGAGGCAGCGAGTTCTCCCCTTTGCTCCACAGCTGCAACGGAGGAGACATCTGCAACGGAGACATCTCTCAGCTTCCCAGCGCCCCATCTGCTCGACAGCTGATGGAAAGGAAGAGCTGCTTGCCGGGCCGATCGCCCCAGTCTCCTGGGGCTGCTGGGCTGGGCTGGGAGCCATCACACCCGGCCGACGACGGCTGCTCTCTGCCAGCCCTGCAGCTCATTTGGAAGTGAGCTCAGGGGGACACGGTGGGCAGCGCGACCGCGTGGATGGGTGAGATGGGTCCGGCATGGTTTAATTCATTGGTATGTAAGTCTTTTCCATGTGCAAGAGGACCATAAATCCGATAGCGAAAAATCTCATCATACAGCGCTTGGCTGGGGAGGCCTCTAAAGACTTCTTCTGTGATAGAAAGCAATTGGAATGAAGCTGCTGCATGGCCCCAGGTCACAGCATTAGCCCCAGGCTCGGTTGTGCCCAGCCGTCTGCACAGCAGAGACCCAGCGGGGTCTCCATCAGGGGCTGGGGCTTGCTGTCGGCGCTGGTACCCGGGTTAGCTGGCTCAGAGCTCTCCTGGGCAGCCCTGCATACAACCGGGAGTGCACAAACAGCCTGGGAAGGCACCCAGAAGCAGTCCCGCCTGGCTAGGAGCAAAGCCTGACCGAAGAAAAGACGGAGGGAAATCCCAGCAGGGCCGAGGGAGCTTCTCCTGACAGCAGATGGGGGAAAGCCATGGCCCAAACCCCATATTTAAAATGCTGATTCCCATCTAGCGAAACTGGGGAGTACTCAATAACCCCCGAACCACAGGCTTCATCATTAGGTCTTGGCTAAGCTCCTGTTTCAGAGATCCCTCAGGACAACATCATCACAGGTTAATCAGGAAAATAGGTGTTTCCAACTTCTCTTTTTCTTATTCTCCCTGAACTGGAAGGGCGTAGTTTGTGCTACAGAGAGTTACACAAGGGCAGTGCTAAAGGGAACCAGGAGATCTGCTTCATCCCTCTGCCCCGCAGAGGCAACAACTTCACCAAACCAGCCCCACCAGAAGTCGATTTAAGCTGTTCCTAAAACCCGGCGTCAAAGAGCAGCAAACCAAGGGCACAGCCACTCTAGCTAACGCTCAACCAAGCCCTTGCCATTTCTAGGCTTTCACAGCTCGACATTTCAACCCTAAATCTGAATGCCAATTGAAATCTTCCCTACCAAACCTCAGCCCCACGATGTTTTTCTTGCATCTACAGTGGATGCAGAGAAGAAATCATTCTCCATCATACAGAATTGCGCATTTTTGTAGATTTATCACCTCCCTACAGAAATCTCTTCCCTGCTCTAAGCAGCCCCAGCCTTTCAGCCTTTTCTTAGGGGGCATTTGTCTACTTGGGCTGTTCTCGACTCTCTCCCCTGTTCCCAAGCGTGTTGTCAAACCTGGACCAGGACACGTAGGTATAAAGTAGAAAGGAATAATTACCTCCCCTGCCTTACATAGAAACCCTCCCACAACTACAGCTGAAGGCAGGAGATGCATTTTTACACCAGCCCCACGTCACCGTCTGCGAACCCGCATCTCCAGCACGCTGCTGCCTCCCTCCCCAAATGCCTCAGAGCCGCCTGCGAACGTCACACACTCTGTGTCACCTTCCAGGTTATCAATATGAGGGCGAAGAAACCGCAAAGTCAGGACTGCCCTCCCTGGACGTGCCCTTTCAGGCTGACAGGGACCTCGCAACAGTAATATTTCACCTGAAGTCGTGCAAGACGTTCCAGGCATCGGCCCTGGCCCGTATTTCCCTGGGCTTCCTAGGAGGACATCCCATGGGACAAACAATGAGGCTTGCTAAAGTCCAAACGCAGCGTGCAGCCCGGGAAGCAACGCAGGACGAGTGGCAGGGAAGGTGTCAGCGGTGGCAGGGCGCCCTGCTCAGCAGAGGAGGCTGAGCGATGCTGGGCTAAGCCAAACCTGATGGCCGCCAAACCAACGCCGGCGCAGGGCGCCCTGCTCAGCAGAGGAGGCTGAGCGATGCTGGGCTTAGCCAAACCTGATGGCCTTAGGACCAACGCCGGCGCTGCGGTCCAGGGGACTGGCACGACTGCAGAGAGCCACAGGTGCGCTGCTTTGTCGACATGGAGAATGCAGTGGATTGAAAGGTCTCTGGGTCTCGGGGAAGCCATGGCTACGAGGTTTGGATCTGCAGTGAGAGCGCCTGGTGCTTCTTCAGGCGGCGGCGGCGGGCCAGGGCCGTGCTCTCCCACTGCATGCCCTCCTACCTGGGGAAGGGCAAACTGATGCCAGCTCTCAGGCCAAGTGGACTTTGTGGGCATGGGAGAAATCACGGGTGTGTGGCTAGGTGTCAGAGGAAAAAGCTCACACCTCCTAGGACAAGAACCCCAACAAAGGAAGAAATGAGGCTGATCTGAAGTGATCTGGTGTCAGGACACTCACACTATTTGATCCTCCTGCCAAGCATGATGCCAGAAGTAGCCAACCCCTCGACCTTCCCGGGTGCTTCACATGTCCTAGAGCTACAGTTCATGTGCTACAGACCTCTGAGAGCCAAGGGCCAATGGACACGGTGGTGGAGGACCCATGGAGAGGAGACAACAACAGCTCCATCCCCCTGTTGACACAGGGCTGGACCGTGCAGGCTGAAGAGCTGAGATGGCCTGATACCAGCTGCAGCTTTCACACCGTCTGGCTGCCCCGCAGAGCCAGGCACACACAGAAAAGCCCAGGGAGATCTGCTCCACTGCCTCCCCACAGGGCACACGCCAGCCTTTTCTGTACCTGCACATCGTTCTCCAGCTGGATCTTCATGCTGTTATACTCCTCCTCATCCTCCACCCGCAGCTGATTCAACTGTTTCTCAAACTCTTCCACCTTCCTCATACGGGCATGCAGGTATTCCAGCTACGGGCAAAAGGAGAACGTCATCCATCAGTGGTGGCAGCTTCCACCCGCGATCACAGCTCCTTCGGCTAGCCCAAAGCAAGGTCATGCACAGATAATTCCCCTGCAGAGCTGAAAAACTGCCCCTTTGCTCCCCACGCTCCTGAAGAACCAGCTGCCTTCGTGCACGCCTGTCTTTCAAGGCAGCACAGTGCCGGAGAGCAGTGCTGGTCCTGGCAGTCTTTGGTCCCTCACCCCAAGGCGGCCATGGAGGGGCTGGAGCGTGGCCAGAGCAGGGCAGCGAGGCTGGGGCAGGGGCTGGAGCCCAAGCCTGGGGAGGAGCGGCTGGGGGAGCTGGGGGGGCTCAGCCTGGAGAAGAGGAGGCTGAGGGGAGCCCTCATGGCTCTCTGCAACTGCCTGAAAGGAGGCTGGAGCCGGGGGGGTCGGTCTTCTCTCCGCCGGGGCTGTCAGGCCCTGGCCCAGGCTGCCCAGGGCAGGGGCTGAGTCCCCATCCCTGGGGGGATTTAAAAGCCGGGGAGATGTGGTGCTGAGGGACATGGTTTAGCGGTGGGCTTGGCAGTGCTGGGTTAACGGTTGGAATTGATGATCTTTTCCAACCTAAACAATTCTATGATTCTAAATTCCACATGGACCTTACCTCCCGTGCGTTGTGGGCTTGGATGGCTTCCTCCCACTTCTTCCTGTTATTGTCCAGCAGCTCTCGCCGTTCGAGCTCAAAAGCTTTCTGTGAAGGAGACAGAGCCCTTCACCATCATGTTGGCACCGCTCATTGTCAACCTTACACTCGCCCAGGCCGGCAGCCTCCAGGAGAGGACTGGCTGCAGACTGGTGGCCCTGTCCGATGAACACACGCTGGCCTGACCTCTCCTCTCCACGCCAGGACCCGCTGGCAGAGACCTCGCACCGCCACCCCATGGGGACCGCTGCTATCAGCCACCCAGAGCTGGGAGGGACGCTCGTGGTGGTGGGTAGCTCCGCGAGTTCACTGGAAATCATTGCTTGATGATTAACAGTGGAGCTCGGGCTGATTTCAGCCACCTGATTTCACCTGGGAAGATGTTCAAGGGGGAGAGATGCCCTCGCTCAGCAACAAATGGAGGTTTGATCCGCGAGGTGGGACTTTGCGCTCTGCGGAAGGGAAGGCTGAGGAACCCCAGTGGTCCTTTCTGGCTTTTAGAGAGATGAACAATCAGCCATCAAGCAGCAACGGCTTTCCCATGCTACTGAGTTGCTCTGCGCTGATGCAGAATCATTCACAGCAAGGTACAAACCAGCCCCTCAGCACTCAGCACCATTCTGTGCTCTTGCTCGGCCAGATTTCAGCCTCCTTCACCAAGACATCAGCCCCGATGCTCTGGACAGTAGTCAACTCAGCCAGCACAACGAGCCTGAGGCCTCTTTGCTGTAGATATGGAGGAGAAGCAAGTGGCTGCAGGTTTTCTCATCGGACTCTTCCTCCACCGTGTGAACTGGCTACCTCAATCTGCAGGAGTTTGTGACGGTAAGTTTTCAGCATGGTCCTGATCTGTTCCTCCATTCTCTCCAAAAGCAGGTGGATCTCATCCGACTGCTTCTTAATGGCCTGCACGTATTGCTCGTCTTTGTTTTTCAGCTCCTGGAGGAGGAGAGGAGATGCTGAAATCAGAGAGAAGTATTTGATCAGGAATCCTCAGGGGCTAACTGAGAGGGTGAGACCCAGATGCTGCCTTTTCCAAAGGAGAAGTGATGAGAGCAAAGAGCCAGAAAGTCAAGAAGCGCTTAGGAGGGAAGAGGGGAAGAGAGACAGATCACCGCTGCCAAAAGGCCCCGGCGAGATGGAGCGGGAGGTGACCCGCCTGCAGACACACCGCTCCTTCTCCAGGGGCCGGGGAACCTGCTGTGGGCCAGGCTTTCTGCCCTCTACAAAACCACTCCCCATCTCTGCTCATTTGCCTTTTTTTACTGTGCAGTCTGGGACCTGGCAGTTTGTTTTACTGCTACCAGTGTCCTGTGTGTCCGTCCTCAGACACAGAACAGTGCCAGGGCACCCGATTTCATCGTCCACGCTGGGACACTGGCGCTGCAGCTCCTGGCACAGTTTTGACCCGGACTAACTGACACCACATGGATCCCTGCAACGTACTGGGGAACTGAAGATCCCGACAGAGGGATGACTGGGCCCCTCACCCCAAGAAGGCCATGGAGGGGCTGGAGCGTGGCCAGAGCAGGGCAGCGAGGCTGGGGCAGGGGCTGGAGCCCAAGGCTGGGGAGGAGCGGCTGGGGGAGCTGGGGGGGCTCAGCCTGGAGAAGAGGAGGCTGAGGGGAGCCCTCATCGCGCTCTGCAACTGCCTGAAAGGAGGCTGGAGCCGGGGGGGGTCGGTCTCTTCTCCCCAGGAACAAGCGATGGGACGAGAGGGAACGGCCTCAAGCTGCGCCAGGGCAGGTTTGGGTTGGGTATTAGGAAAAACTCCTTCCCCCAAAGGGCTGTCAGGCCCTGGCC